TCCATTTCTATAGAAAATAATAGTTTTCTATAGAAAAGAAATTATAACAGCGTTACTCTCTATAGAAACACTTGTTATTTTCTATAGAAATGCTGTTAATTTCTATAGATTCTTATAGAGAATTAAGCCACTTTTCTTTAGAAATTGTATAGAAATCCTTTAGAAATTGTATAGAAAAACTTATGAAAAGTTTTCTATAGATACTCTATAGAATACTATATAGAAAATCTATAGAATTTTTTTTATAGAATTCTATAGAAAATTTTTGTATGGGAGTAATTCTATAAAGAGCAAATGTAATAAACCTTTTAACAACAACAAACTCTTGTAAAGTATTATATACTGGCCAATGGTAACTTACATTCCACAAAAGCATTCTTTTTCTCCGCTGATGACCTGGACTTTACAAGTAAGGGTAGGCCTACATCTTCGCCATCGTTCACTCTTGCTTTTGTGAACATATAAATGGACAGGATAGATAGGCCCAGAATAAGCAATATCAGCAACTTCGTTCGCTGCAATCTAAGTTAAAAATATTTTTTACTGTTGTTACAGTATTGTAAATCTAGAGAAATTTCGAGACGTAATGATAAACAAAAGCAGTTAAGTACCTAAATCGCTGCTGGGTAGAAGCTGTTTCGTACCTGTTTGTACGAGTAGTGATAGAGCGATAGCGCCTGCCAAACACTTCGAAGAGGGAATGCGAGGATGCGTTGTTTCTTGCAGTTTGTTTTCTTCCTTTAGACTATAACCAAAAATGGATTCAAACTATGCATACCTCTGTAGTATAATCTCCTAATATACAAAAATACTGTTTACCCTACCTGAAAATGGACATCTTTTTTTTATAACCACCCCTTTATGTAAAATGCCATTGTCACACTCCTCTATGATGCTTGAAAGACTTTCGATTTGCATGTCAAAAAGTTGATTTAAGTAGGCTAACACAACATTGAATGGCTTTGTATTCACAGAGCACACTGCGGTTCAGTTGTGTGGGTCATGAACAGCGTGACCACTCACCATTTTTGATATACCCAATGACTGGGTAGTTGCTAAATACCTGTCTCTTATACACCTCTAGATGTGTATAAGAGACAGACATCGTGTGACTTCATAATGCTAGTAAAATTCAATGCAGTTTATTCTTTTAAGATATTGAATCCAGTTTTGTTTTTTTTTTTCTATTTTTAGATGATGCAATGCAAACATTATTTTAGTTTGCTTGTTTGACCTGTTATATATATGTTTAATATGTGTTAAATAAAGATCTTGAGAATGAATACATGCTTTGTATTCACAGCACACTGCGGTTCAGTTGTGTGGGTCATGAACAGCGTGACCACTCACCATTTTTGATATACCCAATGACTGGGTCGAAATTACCCAAAATTCAGCAAAAATTGCCCAAAATTACCAAGCTTCCTGAAAATGCATTAAAATTTGAAAAATACGTGTTTTTCGCATGTATAGTTTCCCTTTTAGTTCAATTTATAAACCATTTTTTATTGTAATTGTTTGTGTTAATTATTAAAATTAATATTCATGAGGTAATAATACGGATAGAAAAATACACCCTCAGTCGGCCAGTGTTATCAGTGTATATCAGTGATCAAAGTTGTATGTAATGCATTAATTAGGCAAGATCAGTGGCAACGCAAATCACAAACAAACAATTCTGAACCAACCCATGTTTATAGCAATTAACAGTCAATTAACAATGTTATGTGCACTTCGTTGAGTTTTGCTTACTTGAATGGACTGAGATATACTTTGTTAGTCTTAACTCTTCCTCTATGACAAAAAATATTTAATTATTCTTAGTAAAAATAAAATACCCAAGGAATTGAACGGAATACCCAAGAACCCAAGACCATGTCAAAATACCCAAGATCTTGGGTAAATACCCAAGCAGTGGTCACACTGGTCATGAATAATACTAGAAACACAATAGAAGTTTGTAAAAATAGCTCAATGGTAGGACGTATGGAACGCCAAAAGGACAAATTACAAGTGGCGCAGCGAAAAAGTCGGTCGCAGTGCAAAAGTCAAGTGGCGCAGTGCAAAACTAAGGTGATGCAGTGCAAAACTAACTGTTTAATCCCACTTTAGTAGTATGTTCTATCTCCTTTTTAAATCACCATTTACACATGAAATTAATTAGGATCCAATTCCTCAATCATCTACATCAACAATTGGATACTGAAATACACAGGTTTAATATTTAATACTAATGAATCTAATGAGGATGTCATATTATGAGTGTTGGTACAGTACCGTACGTATAGTCTTGTGTCCATTCACCTTAGTCATTAAATGTCTATGTCTATAGAATAAACTTGATATTTTTTATGATGACGGAATACCGTAATACTAATAGTACTAATACTACTACTACTACTACTACTACTACTACTACTAATAATAATAATAATAATAATAATAATAATAATAATAATAATATTGAAAAAAAAGATAAAACATATCATTTTTGTAAAATTCAACCGTGGTTGATTGTAATTAATGATAACAATTAAAGTACTTATAGGCCTACAGGTAAATTACGCTACATAAGAATGAACTATTATTATTATTATTATTATTATTATTATTATTATTATTATTATTATTATTATTATTATTATCATTATCATTATATTATTATTAAAGGCCACAGTAATATATGAATAATTAAAATGCCTAAACAGTATTTTTTTCAATATATAAATATCAGAAATCGCTGTCGCACACTAAGACCACAATAAAATTAATATCATATTCATTTAAATATTGAAATTGTATTTATGAAAAATGTTTAAACAAATCTTTAAAACCGTATAGTTTACATTCTGTCAAAATGTAAACAGGAAAAAGAGGAAGAAATCTACTTGAGTTAAAAACAAATCTGTTGTGTCCTTTAATTTTTTGATTTGCAACAAAAATTATTACTGTATATATTATTGGTTTAATTAATAAATTTAAATGCTGAAAATGTCAATCTGAGCTGTAATAATACAATGTGAAAATGCATGTTATTGAATCGATCTTCCTAACTAGCTACCCCGTCGGTTGCGTCGACCCTAGCATAGACTAACTATAAGTAGTCTACCCCGACTAGCCTAGCAATGATGTAGAAACAAAACGCAACAGATTTTTTTTTTCAAACTTACCGCTGATATCACTCGAAAGGTCACTCTTTCTTAATTGGAAATTACGCCGGAGGCTTTTTATGGTGCTTACGCTTACCTCCATTTCTTCAGCAATTTGTTTATTTGTATAACCCCTCACTACCGAAGCTAATCTGTCTCTAGTAGCCATGGCTGACAACTATGCTATAGGCCTTTATTAGCGGTAGTAACGATGAATAGAATAGAATAGATAAGCCTAGGCTACGGTATCTACGACAAGTATGCCTATGATCATAACGTTCCTATTTGTGTTTTAGTCCCGAATTTTTGTGCTGTTGTGTTTTGCTGTAAAATTATTAAGAAAATTGAATTATGTGTTCTTGATTTTTTCATTCATTTATTTTAATTTTGATGCCAAAATTGGCGCTCCATACAATATCGCCTAAATTCAAAGTGCCGCTTCACGCCAAAAGGACAAACTACAATCGCAGTGCAAAAGTCAAGTGGCACAGTGCAAAAATAAAGTGGCGCAGTGCAAAACTAAAGTGGCGCAGTGCGAAATTCAAGTAGCAGCACACGCATTTGAATGTGCACTGCGCCACTTTCGCTTTGCATGCACAGCGCCACTTTAGTTTTGCACTGTGCCACTTTAGTTTTGCACTGTGCCACTTGAATTTTGCTCTGCGCCACTTGTAATTTGTCCTTTTGGCGTTTCATAAGGACGCACCAATGGTTTTCCTGCATCCTCTAATTATACAGTATAACATAAATCTCAATCAAGATTTCAACCTGTTTGAGTTTGATATGTGAATTCGATTTGATTTATCAGGGAGGTACAAAAATATTTTTATACCTCCTTATTTATTTGCATCTCAAAAACATACAAACATAATCTCCATTTATGCAAACAGACACACCGCAGAAAGGAAAACGCTTACACCGTGTTGCATGATATTGTCATTTAATCAATGACGGAAAGTTTAGAAATACCAGGGAACAGTGAAATCCCTGGAAATACAGTACAAGGAATAGGTCAGCACTCGACTAAAATAAAATCCACTAAAATGCTGACCATACAACAAATTATGCAATTCTATTTCGACCAGTTACAACTAAAAGAGGGTTATCTAAAAAACCTCCTAGGCTATACTCGGAGTTGCACTGGAATAAAAATACATAAGCATAAAACTTAATAACGAATACAGTATATATTTCGTAACATCAAATAGTAACAATTACATGTTATATATGACAATATGCGAAGACTGGGTGCCAGAAAGGCCAGACTTCTACCGACACTGTCGTACTATTTGTTAAACTTACATATAATAAATACACATTCACTGAGAGACGCACTACATTCACTGAGAGACGCGCTTGGCGTTCCATAGAAATTACCGGCGGCTCAACTTGTCGGCGGCTCAACCGGTCATAATCCGTTCTAGGCTAGCTCAAGTTCAACAATCAACAAAATGGATTTGCTGAATGGATTTGTCATTCTGTTTGTGTGACTGAGTCTGAATTTGAGTGAGAGCCCAGCAGTAGTGTGAGAGGTCAGATGGTGATGCTTTTACATTGTCACTCACTGTGGGATTGGGGAAACTAGAATAGGCTATTATTTTTTTTTTCAATGTCCAGCCCAAGTAGTATACTATCCACTGTAAAGTTTTTTAATTGTGCAGACGATATCTAAAAAATCAGCTCAAATTTGTGCGCAAAACCGCTAGGAAAGTAGGTGTATGGAATCATATGTGCTGCATAATTGCATTGGTTATATGTTAAGATTTGGTCAAAGCCTAATTTTCGGTAAAATCTAAAAACCTGCGCAGAAATTGGCCCTTATTTTTTAAAATGCGCGGACGTATTTCTAGGCCAAATTTTAGCCCAGAGGATATATTCCACGCACAGGCCTTACTATGCAGTCTGGTATGCGATTTTTTCAGTAGCAATTCTTCATTGCTTCTATACTCCAGTTATTAAGTATAGTCAGTCAATTTCGAATGTTGATAATTTATTGATTTAATCATTTTAGGCCCAGTTATTGCATCAAGTGAGTATGCCTCGAAAATCACCACGAGAGAGCTCTAAGAGCCCAGCATCAGGATCACGCCGTAGCTCCAGAATAGCCTCATTGGCTAAAGAAGAAGCAACACCACCTAGGGCCTCTAGAGCTCTAGCGGAATGATGTGTATAAGAGACAGGTTTTGCACTGCGCCACTTTCGTTTTGCACTGC